TTATTTATTGAAATAGTTCATTTAGAGTATGATTAAATTAGAGTGAACATATTGAAAAGGATTATGCTGTTTGTACACCAGGTGTACATACACCTCTCACATAAATAGTGTGCGCGAATATTTTATTGTGTGTGGGACCCCTCTCCATGTGAGAGAGGTGTAAAAGATTGTGTGAAGGATTATGTACATGTAGTATGATTGTATTGAAAATGTACTAATATGGGTAGGTAGCTGTTAGCATCCATCGATGTGCTTTTTTCATTTAAAGTTGATGAGATACATCACCACATAATCCAATTCCATTATATTTATAAAAGACGTCTACAAAGATTTACCAATTTCAATCAGTTAAAACAATGTCTTTATGGGCTCAGCCAGAGGGCAAGATTCTATTGAACCTACTGGATGCTGCACATATTTAATAGGGGATTATAATCGATTTCAATTTTAATTAGATATAAATAAATGATGAATAAGTGGGTCATACTTGCACGTCTCACAAAATGTATATAAGAAAAGTAAATTTGACCAGAAATAATTATTCCATTCGTCCCATAAAAATATGATTGTTTCTTTTTTCGTTTATTCTAAACTATGTCACTTTTTTGCTTAAGAGTATAATTGATTTCTTAATTTTCTAATATACATCTATTTAATATGCATCGTTAATAACAAATGAGCACTAATTCTATTTTAATCATTGTTTAATATAAGAGTATATTAGGAAAAACGCAGGTAAAATTTATATTTTCAATTATATTAATTATATTTTCTTTTAATTTGTGTAAATATAAAGGCAAGTCTATCTTTGTAGGACAGAGAGAGTAAAAAATACCTATCGAACATAGCAAATGTGTACGTCGGACTTCCACATTGAATAATGCCGTTGAAGACTTTCCACTATGGTTGATAAATATTGTTGGGGTAATTAGCACATAACGTCCACACCTTTCACTATTATTGTGAATAACGTCCTTACCTTTCATTTTTTAACATTTTCACATTTATTTATACATTTCATTGCGCAAAAGGTCATTCATGCATTTTCTCAATTAAAAATTGTGAAATGACTAATATACCCTTATCTTTAATAAAACAAAAGGAAAAAAGAAAAATTAATTGCAATCATAGTCCCAATTTTTTTTAAAGAGCGCAAATGAGTCATAAATAAATTATTAAAATGGTAATTAGCACATAATGTCCCTACATTTTATTTTTTGGTATTTTCACACTTAATTACACATTTGATTACGCAAATTATCATTTTTATCAATTTTCATCCAATTTCTCAATAAAAAACTATGAAATAAAAAATATACCCTCCTATTTAAATAAAAAGTTAAACAATTAATTGCAACCAAGTTCCAATTTTTTTAAAAAATTGCAAACGAGTTCCCAATAAATTAAAAAAAATTATTTTTTATAAAAAAAAGTGCAAACGAGTCTCAGTTAAATTTATTTAAAAATTAAAAAAAAGTGCAAAAGAATCCCAAATAAATTATTAAAAAAATTAGAAATTAAAAAAATATTTTTTTATTTAAATAGGAGAGTATATATGTTATGTCATAGTTCTTTATTGAGAAATTGGATGAAAATGATGGTTCGCACAATTAAAGGTGTAATTAAGGGTGAAAATGTCAAAAAAAAAAAAAAAATTGAAAGGTATGAACAGTTTTTCGCAAGAATAAAGCTACTTGTACACAATGGTGTACTTAACCATTTACACCCTCCTCACATGGAGGGAGACCCACACATAATAAAATATTAGTGGGCCCCCCATGTGAGGGGGGTGTACATGGTTATGTACACCATGAGGTGTACATCTAGCATGATTCTTTTCGCAATAATGGTGAAATATAGGGATATTATGTAATAATTACCTTTTTAATAATTTATTTGAGACTAATTTGAACTTTTTAAACAAAATTTGAGATAATGATTGCAATTAATTTTTTTTTTTTGTTTTATTTAAAGACGAGAGTATATTCATCATTTCACAATTTTTAATTGAGAAAATAAATGAAAATAAGGGTGAAATGCCAAAAAAATGAAAGGTATGCACGTTTTCCACAATAACAATGAAAGGTGGGGATGTTATGTGCTAATTACCCAATATTGTTGAATGTAATGGTGGAAAATGGGTGGAAAAAAAATGAATTCCAGAGAAAGTAATTGCTTATAAATTGTTTTGTCGAGAATTGTTAATTAAGTGTGTTTAATTGATATAATTTTTCACCCGGAAAATTTTTAAATTTTGTGTTCGTTTAGCTTTGTTTTACATGGAAATTGTCCATTAAAGTAATAATATTTTCCACAATTGGTTATAAAATTTGTTTTCATTGCCAAAAAGGTAAAAAAAAGAAAAAATTATTTTTTCTAAAAAATCATTTTTTTTTATCAAAATTTAGTGTTCGTTTAACTTTTTTTTATATGAAAATTGTCCATTAAAGTATTTTTTTTTTTACACTTGGTTATGAAATTTGTTTTCATTATCAAAAAAAAAATAAAAAAAAGATGGAATCAGATTTCTCACCATTTTGGTGGGAAATCAAATTCCTTAAAAAGTGGCCAAATAAGGGTGGAAGAAAATTGTGCTATCAAACAACACATTTAAGGGTGGAAATGGAATTTAATTTCCAAATTCCATGAAAAAGATGCCTATCAAACAAGGCCTAATATCATGAAAAGGTCACAATGTGATATGACATAATGCAAAGCTTTATTACTTGATGCTCGTGCTCGACGCTTATTTCACGAGGCAATATTATTGATCGTCATAAAATTTATCTGCTCATTATGGAACTATCTTAGCCCTCAGGCATCAAAGAATGCTACTTTCAATTATAGTTTGTGATAGTCATTGATTGATCTTGAATTTTTCAAAATTGACGTCCTTTTATTTTATATTTTTCAATATATTCAACATGCTTTGATTCACGTACTAAAAATGATAGTACCACCACTGAGCAACTCCCACACCCGCCCCGTACAACCACAACATTCGTCAAATCAATTATACCATCCAACAAAAAAAATATTTTAAAAATCGATACATTGATATCTTGATTAAAACAAATCGATTTTCTAATAAAATTCTCCCAACCAAAGTTGGAAAAACTTCAATTTTCACCATACGGCTCAAAAAACAGAAATGGTACATTCAGTTATCAATTATGAGACGAGAAATGCTAACTTATTCAAATTCAGGACCAAAATGTATGACACTTCATCATCTGTCAACAAAGGTATAAACTGTTTCTGTACAAGTAGCTTAATTGTTATGAGACATCACTTCCAAATTATTATAGTTATTAGACCCGACTCGGACATCGATCTGGACAAAGTGCCGGATCTTGGGTTACTGGTTGAACCAATGGGTCAATGGTTAGATCGGTGGGTCATTGCATAAAAATCTACAAAAAAAGTATAAGATATAAATTTTTTTAGGGGCAAAATTAATTTATTTATTTTTCACTAATTATTTAAGTTTATAAAATAAAGTAAAAGGTTGGAC